TTCATCGATTTAACATTACCATTTGCGTGTACTGAACAATTCGACCATTTCAATAGATAGATTATCGGTGCCCGAACGTCTATTTTTGTTTCTATCGTTTTTTACCTATGGCGTTTTATTACCGAACAACAAAACTAACCGCTAGTCATTCTAATTTCATAGAAGATTTTTTTAACTTTAGGCAATAAAATGAGAAACAAGTTTGAAATTCAATAAAAGGAAAATTAAAAAAAAAACAACACTCCAAATGAAATGTATTCGTTCAAATGTGGTTCAATTTATCATAAGATAATCACGAAATGTCTGTTCGTGACAAAAACATTCGATCAAGTCAATGGTCGATTTAGGGACAACACAGACTCAGATGTGTTCGTCAAACTCAATCCTCACATTTTCCACTCTCTCTCTCAATCTCACTCTTCCTTCGATCACTCTTCAAACTCCAAAATGGATGCATTGGAATATATTTTTCTTTGGGTTTAGTTCGCGGTGAGCAACTGATATGATAGAAGACGAATGAGAGACAGAAAAAACTCCATTTGTTATATGGTTTTGCTTAATCCTGCTTCGTAAATCTTGTTATCCGATGTACTTGTACTGTTCAAGTGATTGAAGCGCAAAGATAAAACTACAAAAAAAGCCAACAACACACAAATCTTTCGTTGGCATTTGTGCGTTTTGAAAAGAACAAGTTATTATGTGCAACGCACTTTTTTTTCTCCCTTTCTCTCTCTTTCTTTCTCACACACATAGATTTGCTCTCTCACTCTTTTGTTTGACTCCACAATTGAAACGCGTTTAATGAAACGTTTCATTAGAATCGAAACAAATTGCACTGCGAAGTGCAAAAACGACAACATCCAATAAATCAAAATTCACAAGCAATGTATCACACATAATACCATGATAAAGAAAATTGTTCATCTTAATCGAGTATTTTTTGTTGTTGTTGTTGCTGCTGCCAGTTCACAAATGCATCAATAACACAAACTCCATTGGATGGCTCACTCTTGAGAGCTCGTTATACTTAACCCTTTGAGCCATTCAACGTTTATTTCTATGAATTTCGTAAGAATTTTTGCAAACAACAGAGATTGAGATGGAGAGAAATAAAGAAAGAAAAATTGACGGGTTAAGAATTTTTCTCAATTTTTACGCACATGCACCATTTTTTTCAATCTTGAAAACCCCAATAATAAATCGAACTTTATTCTAAATTATAAGTCAGCTTCTGTGCAAATAAAATAAAAAGAAATCCACTTCTATAATACACATGATTGTATTTCATTCAAGAGATCAATGAGAGAGTGTGGTAATAAGTTAACAATTTTTATGTCTTGAAAAGAGGCTGAATTCGTTTTACTTTAAATATTGTAATTCACATTGCTAATAACAATGAACCTCTTGCATAACCGCATAACCTTTTAAAACTGATCAAACGGTAGAAAAAGGAGAGACCGAAGCGAAACAAGTTTGCAGAGTAATCTTCCGTTTTCGCAATGCGACTCATTGATAAGAATACGGCAGCTAATTGAAGATTTACAAGCGTCATTAATTGCATTTCTTTCTATGCATTAACCCAATGATATAGACAGAGATAGAAGGACACATATGGAAAAAGAGAAAGAGATAAAAAGAGTAGAAAAAATTGAGATATTTCTGTTATTTTGATTTACGGGAATGATATGTATGTGTGGTATGTAATCTGTCGAAAGTGTTGTGTAGCATGAAATATGTTGAATTGATAATAATATTCTCTATATAATCATATGAAATTCACCGAACGTTTAAAAGCATCGACATTGCGCTAATATTCAAATCGTACACAATCTCTCTCTCTTTCCATCTTCCCCTAGTGCATCTCTTCATGCCCATAAATCGAATACAAAATGTTCTGTATTTGTTACATGCGATATTTTCTAAATTCTTGTAAAATTGTTTGTATTATTTGTTAGAATATATCGGTCCTGTGTGCTGTGTTCGCTGTACATCGAATAAATTGTTTAATATATTAAGCGAACGGTCACGCATAGATCGATGTGAAATATCTGTACTTTCTTTACGTTGTTTTCATTTTGTTTCATTTCAAATCGTTTTCTTTCACTCGACGCCTCTGACATAATGATGGGAAATTGACAGGTGGAAACGAAGAGATTGTTACGTTAATTATCGCGCGCGTCGATCACACTTTTACAAGCGCGTAAATCTATTTTGGATTGATGTTCATGTGCAGATTTTCAGGTCGAGTACATGTACTGTTCGCTAAATTATACTAATTCCATTTTGAAAATCACCTCACTCGGCGACTGAGACGAAAATGACTGCGGGACTTTTTGCATAACGATTCTTATGGTCAAATTGAGAGTCATATAGTCGCGGCGGCCTCTGTTGTGGTCACAAAGTAGCAAAACAAAAAAAATATCGAAATACATTTTCTCTATTATTATTTTCGCATTCGATGCGATAATAATCAACAATGTTGAAGCAAAACGGTGGTCGAAAATTGTGCGATAACTTTGAACGAAATTCACATTGCGCACAAAAATCTCTCTTTTCTAATGAAAATCATTTGCGGCGTGCATTAAAGTCCAGAATAATATTCAATAGAAGAATTGAATGTCTTAGCAACCAATTAGAGAGAGAGAGAGAAAGATGCGAAAAGAATGTTTTTTTTATTTAATGTAATTAGTTTTATGTTATTATTTTATCGATGAAAATTGCACTCACAAATCGGAGTTATGTCCACAAAATTCATAAGAATGGGGTTTGAATATGTTCATGTTCTTCGCTAAGAAGAACTATGCGTAATGTCCATAATGAAGCAACAGTCATCGATTCAATCATTTCTTTTCCATTCCGTATATGACTTTTGATTCTCGTTTTACTTATTTCTTCAACCGTTTTAATGCGCGCTACGCTCAATTGATATTGATTGTTGTCGTTCGCAAATGCAAGTCATTATTAGTATTGAACAGTAGTCACGACCAGTTTGGTGTGCATCAACTATGCTTCTTGTTATTTAGTTAGGATAATTGAATTTTCTACTATATTATTATGGTATGATGTGCATTGTTTGGATTGCAACCAATATGTGTGAAACTGTGAATCAAGTGCAACAAATAATTTGTCATTCAACGTTATAGCTTTTGTTTTGTATGCGAAAATGTATTCTTTCGATGATTTTCGATGGCTATCGATGCCAACACAAATACACACCCAGAGAGAGAATAATATATACCGTAACTTTTGTGAAAGACTCATATAAAATAGGCCATTTAAAACTGTATATCGTTCAATGGAAGTTTTCAATAAAATAATAACCGATATATTCGCCTTTATTCATTGCTGTACAAAACAAATGGCAAACTGGTTTTTCTTTTCATTTTTCGGACGATAGATATTATATCATAAGTGGTATGCCGTGTAACAATTGCATACAAATGAGATGCAACTCGTTTTGACACAGTCCTTGTCTTATCTTAAATGCAAATTGATGTACGTCTCATATATTGATAGAGCCAATCAATTGATAACCGATCGCTAAAGAACCGGCCAACGTAATCTTTTGGTGGTAAAATAAAAATTCATTGCCTTATTTTCGCGCAGTTATAAGTTAAGGTTGTGTGTATCTCTCTCTCTCTCTCGGTTTGTATGTAAATTCACGTTCTCATCGATACGCGTGCAATCGTTGACCACCACCACGTCTTCATTTGGACCTTTTAATAAATGTTAATTCACGTTGAAATTGTCGTTTTCTGCAATGTGAATATGCATTCAATGGTTTCTGCGTTATGGTATGTTGCACATTGATCTTTTCCCTTTGCGTATGATACGCGCATTCACTCGCTCGTGCGCATATGTACAGCATTCGATATACAAATGCAATATAAAGCGCCGCCTATACGCTGTTCTAGCGTAATTGTGTGATAAATTCGAGATGAAAATAAATGAAAAGAAAAACTTGAGACAACTTTTGAAGAAAAAAGATGGCAAAAAATAATCGTAATAATAAAAAAAATGAAAACCCGCTTTGAACTAATGAAGAAAACAAGAGGAAAATCATAAAAAACAAGTTCTTATCACTAATGTATGTCGAGTCGGTTTTTTTCCTATTCAAGATCTTGGTGATGCGTTGCTAGTTACTGAGTTGAAGTGTCGTCTAAAGATTATTAGTGGATATGTATATTTATAACTGATATATCAGTGGAAATGAATTGCACGGGCTACTCAGTGTACGATGTGGATGCTCATTTTAATCTTGTATTAAATGTACAGATTATGAATTTAGACGGTTTATTCTTCGTTACCTCTTTGATAGAATTCGATTTCACGTCTCTCGCTTAAGTTTCCAGTTATCGCATGGCCACAACAAAAAATGAACCTCATTTTAAAGTATTTAGTATTATGCTGTGTAACGCACTTGCACTTGAAGTCAGCCCATTGCCCGGGTTTTTTTATATATAGATATGTGTGTGATTTGTTTTTTTTTTAATGCAAAGCAACTCTCTTGAAATGTGTTTAAGAGTGCGACATTACATGCACTCGGTTCTATTTGTCTGAAGTCCGGCACTTTTGGAATTTACAGAGTTGACGATAACGTCCGACTTATGTGAGGAAAAATCTCTTGAATGTCTTGATTATGTTGCTTTTACATTGAATTTTTCGTTCATTACATATATCCCTGTGCATAAGGAACGAAAATGGATGCGAATGAGATGAAAAGAATAATAACAACAACATCAACAAAAACAAAAAAAAAACTGAAATTATTTTAATGAATGTCGATTCAGCTAAATCCAAATCATTTATGCAGTAAAATTTGTTCAAAGTCATCGGAATATATTGACAGCTTATATTAAAGATATGCTTCTACAATAATTTATTCAACTTTTTTTCTCTAAAAATAAGTTCTCAAAACCAAAAGAAAAACATTTTTTAAACAACATTTTAATTTATTTACTCGGTCGTTAATTTTGTTCTTGTTTTCTTTTTTTTTGCAGGAAACGAAAAATTGCGGTGCACCATGTCATGCACTGTTTTTCAAAGAGAATGAACGCACCATTCTAAGGTATTGGGTTGGATCATGGGCTGCTGTTTGTTGTGCCAGCTGTCTTTTTACGGTGAGTACTGCTATGTCAAATAAAAATTTACAGAAATGAAAATATTCTTTTTTCTTCCTGGAAATGTGGTTTTCATTTTGTGCGTTGGTTTAACGAGCCGTGTGTTTTGCCGTTTCTTCGAATTTTATGCATCTGTTTATTCCACCCAAATTCATTATATTCTTTTAATGCAATAACATTTACGATATTCATCTAAAGATTAGAAAAGTTTTTAGTTTTAAAGTGTTGATAAATTTCCGCAAGCAATCTCATAAGAGATTTTTTTTGGCGTCATCTCAATTTGGGACAGTTATAAAGTTTTATGAATTTTCTTCAAAGTGTCACTGAATTATAGTGATTTTGAAACTGTAATAAAAATAGCACCCGAAAAAATACTTTGAGTTTTTTTTATTACTTTATGTTATGAATAGCTTCGGGTGCTAAGGTGTTTGGGACTCGACGAAACTTCTAATCTAACACAAATCTTCTGTTTCTAATTTAAAAACTGAATTGCATTGTTTTTTTTTGAACAGTGTGTGAGAGAGATCAGCAAAAGAACCAGGGGAATATGGTGTTGTCATACAGAAACATCTGTAAATGAGAGAGATGAATCTGCGTAACGAAGTGTAGGCATTCAAATAAAACCATTCGAGATAATTAATTTCTGTGCAATTGCAATCTAGCATTTGCTCTCTCTTTCAATGGCACAACGTAGAAGCTTATCAATTTGGTGCCACTAATTGGTGTGGAATGTCCAAGCTATGCTCGAATCTTAATAAATTATGAATCATTGTATGTGTTTGTATAATCAAAATGAATGGCTGAATTAACAGCCGGATAGAAAAAAAAAATGGCGAATACTCGAAATGCCATTGTATCGTGATACATATAACACAACCAGCTTAGGTCGGTTGCGATGAGCCACGCGTAGCTATACAACCATACATCGCATATTTAAAGGTGCACCAAAGCTATTTCAAATTGCACCATATACAATTCTCCTGAAAATAAACGCTACGAATTTGATTGCGGAGTACAACATGTGAAATGTGCACATTTTAAACGCGTTTAAAACATTTTCATACTAATGTTTGCTTAATTCCTCTGTTGGTTGACTCTGTGTATGTGTTCGTTTGGGCAATATTGAAATTGCGCTTTTGTTTGAATTTGCAAGTGTGAATATTCGCTCATTTTACATGGCGTTTTTTTTTCTTTTCTGCTGATATCACCATTTAGCCCAGCCAATGCAAATGCCTTTTGTAATGTGGATGTGTTATAGTTCATTTTGCCCATGGAATGATTAAATATGATTGGCACCATACGGAATATTTACATTCCAATAAAAGAGTTTTTCATTCTCAATGAACAGCACCATTCAGATTCTTCATCGTTGTATTGCACGCTTACTATTTACATTGATATGTGCAATTCTCAAGTGCGAAATATGTTGTGCTTTTCGTCGGTTTTATTTTCCTCTATTTGAGTTACAGTCAAAGGTAAAAATGGCCTCATGTTCACATGTCGTTTACAGTTGGAGTTGAATTCATTCCCCCTTTCTCTCTTTTCATTTCGCTTATAAATATAGCACATTGTCAAGGAACGGTATTGTGTATCATTTGAAGATTCTCCTTATATTCGGTTATAATATTTCTCTTTTTTTGCTGCTTCAGTGAGCGCACTCTTCCTTTTTCATGTGTTGAAATTCTTTTTTTCTTTTGCGATTTTGAATTCGTTTTGCGTCAGTCACCCTTTTCCTCTCACTCACCGTATTTTTTCTTATTTTCATTGCTTCCCAAATGCATTTCGATAAATGTGTTTTTTTCGCCTTTTTGTCATTTTGCTATCGACCATATTCTACATTCACCGCATCCATACTCACACTCATGGCCAATTTGAACGAACATCGTTCGTAGAACGCTTTCGCGGTGTACATATACGTGCAGGATCGTTTTATCTTCAAACATTCAGCTGCATGAAATGAACAAAAAAAATAGAAAAAGAATTCGAATAGACCGAATCATTGGATAAGCTTACCTTTAATTCTTTATTTCACCTTTTTCTCTATACGAATTTTATATTCAAAGGTATCAGGGGTAATGCGTTTCAATAGTTCCATAGCAGAGCTATTGGCACCGATTTTTCATATAATTTTTTATCGCATTTGAATACTAGAAAGAACAGCACAAGAAAAGTTCTGTTGCATAGTCATTCCGAATTAAGTTAATTTTTTGGTCATTTTCATCAGTCAATTGGATAAAACTGTTCATTGTGTAAATTAATGTTTGGATTGGAATCGATATTTGTTGTTGCCCCTTGGAAAACTGATGACAATATTGTTGCTTTTAGAAAATTCAGGCAGTAGGTAGTTCTTTTTGTACAACTACCTCACTTTACTGGAAATGCACACATGAAATTGTTTCTTTGAATGGCTCACACGACTAGAATAATATCCATTGCAGTTTTCGTTGAGGTGAAGGAAACGATGAAAAAAAAGCACAAACACACATACACACCAAATGGGCTCCATTGTGGGAATCTGTTAAACGTGAATTCGCCAAGATTGTAGATTTTTTTTTTCTTACTTCTCAACTCTGGTAAAGAGTTTCTCTCTTTTGAGAAAGAAAAATAAACCAAAACGAATATTCAACGAATGTCAATGAGTGACGATGTTTTTCCATGATAAACAAACAATTGACTGTAGCCACCAAAACAAACTGGTGTAAATATATTTCTAAATTTGCAATGGGCTTTTGGACTCTGTTATTCTTTACGGATGTTGTTGGCTTATGTCTAAGAAAAATGTAATTCGATCGTTGACTCGCCAAAAGGTCGTGAGCAGTAAATTTTAAGGCGCGTGCAAAAAAAACCGTACACACAGGGAAAAAGAGGAACGACAAGGAATAATATATCATGGAAGACAATATCACCAATTTCTATTGAAATCAAACACAACTTTTTCAATTTCGATTGGTAAAATTGAATCGATTTTGTAACTAAATGTTCAAACATTTAACGAAGCAAGCACATTTTTTGGTCAAACTTCAACTTCTAGCTTAAAATGATGTGTATTCCTAGTATTCAGCAAGTTTACGCGGGATGAATAAAGTTTTCAGAGTTTTAATACAATGGAGAGAGAGAAAAAAAAGCATAAACGAATGTCAAAGTTTCACAAGTGAATTTCGTTACGATTTTTGTCTCGATACGCTTTTTCGTTACGTCACTCTCAAACTCGTGGCATATTTTAAAATTCTAATTGCGAAATAACGAAGAGTCGAGAGTCACTTCACGAGACGTGATGATATATATTCACGCCACACGACAACATTGCAACAGTAAAGTCGAGAAATGTAATTCACTGGAGACCGTGATCTAATTTAAAATGCATTTTCCCTCAACCATTATGGTCATACCGCGTGATCCATATGCAATTCGAATCCACTATATTATAATAAAAATTACTTGAAATTCGTCTTTCGCTCGGTGTACGTGTGTGTGTGCGCAATAATCATAAAATTCTCTCGTCGCCTCTTTACATTACGCCACAATCGTATGGTTTTGCATGCAAACAACACAAAAACATTTCAATGTTTTGTGATTTTGATTTTTTTTTAATTGGTTTTTGCCGCTTCATCTCAGTTTAAATGCGCACACAAATACATTTATAGATTCAATTGCAATCACTATATCCAATATAGAGACCATTGACTCTGTATGCTCATGACGACAATCAGTTGTACTCTATTCCAATATAAACCGATGAATTTCTAATTCGATGTGAATATTGTTGTCACGTTTTCTATGTGACTTTTGTAAAACTTTGAGCTTTTGATTACCCAATTTTATTTTGATGAAAAAAAAAATAAATGCTTTTCCCTTCTTAGCAATACAAAAATCTTCTTTTTTTCCGTTGCCGAATGTTTAATAATTTCTTCTTTTTTTGTTCCTTTCTACATATAGGTTTTAACATTTTTGATCGATTCATCACGATTTCGGTATCCAGAACGAGCAATTGTATTTCTAGCGATATGCTATTTAGTGGTTGGATGTGCATATGTGGCTGGTTTAGGTGCTGGTGATTCAGCTGCATGTCGTGAACCATTCCCACCACCAATTCGACTGAACAAACTTCCGATGTATTCAACCATTACAATGGTAAGTGAAATATATATTCATTTTATTAGTTCTTAACAAAGAAGATACCAAAAATGTATTTCGTCCGCTTTGGGAAGCGATTGATTTCATGCCAAGTACCGATCTTTATTTAAATTGAAGTTTTAAAACACAATCAACTGTAATCTCTGCGATTTCTAGAATCTTGAGAACTATTTGAAAACGCTTATTTGCCGACGTTTCAATCTTATGTACGTTCCTTGTTTACAGAAAATTGATTTGTCATTCAAATAAACGAAACGAATTTTTATATTTACAAAACGTCGTTACAAACATTTAAATTCAGTCAATAGATATTTCTATCGATCGAAAATCAAACAATTTCGAATTAAATATACGTTGTCATCAATCTTCAGTCGAACGATCAAAACTAAAAATCGATAGTAAAAAACATAGTTCATGTCTATTTCTATCACAGCATAACTTCGATTATTCGCAAAAATTCTTCGATTATTCCATGTGCAACATCTCAGTTTGTCAAACATTTTGCAAATTCCGATTCAAACGTCACGTGTTTTAACAAAACGAATGTGTTTATATTTTCGGAGAGACAGTAATCTTCGACGCCATGACACAAAACGAACGGATGTTTTTCCCACATTCAGTTTTGGTTCGCATTTTATTTCATTGTAAATTTGTTTATCAAATAGTCGTAGATTGTTAAATTTTTTGTTTGTTTTCTTCGATTGAATGCACAGAGGTGAATTAAATTATATGAATTGGTAGAGTCAGAGGCCATTGAAAATATTTTTTTAAATCATTTTCGATTTGGAAAAAATTATTTCCCCGGAGAAAAGTCACTTGAATCTTAGAAATTATGGTTTAACAATTAATTGTACGGAATTCGAGTGATTTGTTTCTAAAGAGAGAACTCCCATACCTCTTGAAATTTTTATTGCATTGTTCATTATTGATCGAAAAAGCAAAAACATTTTTACAACCTGTGCAATTAGAAACTATCCTGAGAAACGTTCTTTCTTGTTTTTTACAAAATGAAAAATTAAAACTTCAGAAAATGACACGAAAATAATTAATATTGCACGATATTTGCTCTGATCATAAATTTCATATTTTTTTTTTTTAAATCATATAAGCATAAAATTCGATTGCATCTCATAAAGTGGTAATATTTTTTTTTTTCTTTTGGTTAGTTGTCATGGATTGTTGTATATGATATGCATAAAACATTGCATTCGATTGTTTATTTCGCCTGTTTTGCAACAGTTTTGCATGCAAATTGGGTGATTCAATTCAACAATTTCTAAATTGGGCATATTTTATTTATGGTTCTTAAATTTATGACATTGGCTGTTTTGATTTCATCCAGAATGTTGCCAGATATATTGACTTGTGTGTCCCCGATGTCGACAATGTAGGCGAATAAGAAAAAATATGTACGATCAACACGAAATTGTAATTAATCAATCTCGAAATTTCGATAAGTAAATCCAAAACAAGCGTGGAAAACAAATGTTTATCCCAACAAGAAAAGTTGTTAATTGTCAATATCTCAAGCCGAATTAGGAACAAAAGATTGATTTCACCGTGTGATACAAAATGTCATTGTTTTTATGTTATCTCCGCGTTGATTTGTTTTCGAGTTCAAAAGAAAGATGAAGAAAAACGATGCGATGATCTTTTTCAGCGTTTTTTGTTATTCTTTCTGATCTCAATATTTCGTCTTAAGATATGTGTTTATTATGTTTGATATCATACGTACCAGTGTGAGTATCTCTTGATTGTTTTGATAGGCAATATCTTATTGCCATTTATTATTGCTGCCAGATAATAAAAGGAGCCGGGATCTTTTTGTATTATATTAAAAGGTAAAGTTCAATTTCGGAGAACGTGCGTGTATCTCAACGTTATTGAATGATAACGTCAGCGGCAAACCGAAAGGCGAACAATGCGAATAAAAAAAGAGAAACAACTACCCGACCAATCGGCGAAAAAAACACACACACAGTATCTGGAACAGCCAAGATAGAAGGACAGAAAGAGATGAGAATGGAGAACTGGAAAATATGCAGTATAACATCAAACAAATCCTGTAATGTAATAAATATTTGTAACAAACAGAATTGAAACAGTTGTCGTTATTTCAAAGAGAAGAAAATAAATAAAATTGTCTGTGTTGCCATACACCGGGAGCGGGAGATATACGGAGAGAGGAAGAGAGAGAGAGAGAAGAGCAAAAACGAAAGAGTGCGTCCAAACAAAAGAAGCGAAGAACTGGTTACAAACGACGTGGAAAAAAAGAGAATCAAACACAATAAAAAGAAATAGAAACACATGAAGCGCTCAGTTTTATCAAGAATACACACGTACATATGAAAGAATGTAAAAGCACGGATAGAGACCGAGAGGAAAAATGACGAGCACATTGTAAGCGTGCTTGTGTTTGTGTGTTCAAAAGACAGCGAAATAGTCGCTCTTTGATGCCAATGAACGCGGTGGACATATCGCGAGCACGCGTACGTCGACAACCAAAGGGAATGAGTGCTTACAAACTTAACAATAACTCAAAGTGTAAATCTACTTCGGTTTACGCCTAACTTACACCGTATTCAATGAATTCTGTTGCGTACAATTCATGACGACATTATTTTTTTTCTGGCCCGTTTCGTATGTAATGAAGAGAAAAAAAAGAAGGTAAATGAACAGAGAGACACGAACAACAAATGAACAGACAAAATGAAAGAAATAAAAACTGCACAGCAGATACATCGCTGAAAATCTTACGCCAAGCAATGTCCAAACAATCATATAGACAGCGGAAATCGACAAGCCGGCGCATATCACCAATTCAATCAGACACAAACTGTATCAATTTCTTTTCTTTTTCTGATTTGTTTCACTTATCGCCATTTCAACGTACATCCAACAACAAGCGTATCGCCAAACAATATTGCAATAATTCAACGACGAACAGCTACACAAATGGACAGAGGGACATGAAGCACAGCCCGAACAGCAATAAACAACAGGCGCACTGAGGTTGAGCGCATTGAAATTAAATTAATTATTGAATAAATTGAGCGGGAGTAAAGGCATTCGCATTCATGCGTCCAGACATAGGAAATGTACAATGTTTAAATTTGTTTTTTTTTTTGGGGACATTTTCGGACTTTTGTTGTTGTTGTTTTTTACTGTCGCGTCTTGAGATGATGAAAATTCGATTTCTAAGAACAAGAGATGATTGCATTACCAAGAAAATGTTTATTACGATCTGTCTCGCGACATTTCATTTAAATTGTTGAATTTTATTGGTCACTTTTGATTTTATTCAAACATTTTGCTTATTTGATGGAGTCTACTTGAAAGTTTTCATATCTGCTGAATACACGGTTGAATGGACGAAAATTTGAAAAAGAAAACATAAAAATTGTCTTTTATTTGCAATATGTCTAATGCCTATTGCTCTTCACCACAAACGAGCACAGTTTATTTCTTTATTTTCATTCACAACTCCACAAATCTTTCCAAGAACCATTCTTATCATTAAATAAATGATTGATTGAGAATAAATTAAATATCGTACTACGACTCTTGTACCACCACAACGATCGAGAAACTTGGGTTTAAATCGTCATTCCTTTTTGATGTCTTTGATTTCACTTCTCTCTCTTTTTATTGTTATTTTTATAAATTTGGTGCGCATTTTAATAAATTAAACGATTTTTTTCTTTTCTTTTTTTTTTTACTTATGATGCAAACATAGGGACACCGGCAATCAACATTATGCACCATTTTATTTATGGCATTGTATTTCTGTTGTATGGCAGCGTTTGCATGGTGGGCCTGTTTAGCGCTCGCTTGGTTTTTAGCGGCTGGACTAAAATGGGGCCACGAAGCCATCGAGAATAAATCGCATTTATTTCATCTGATTGCCTGGGCAATACCAGCATTGCAGACGATATGTGTGCTCGCCCTAGGAAAAGTCGAAGGTATGTGTCCAGTTTATACGTTTAAAATTATAACAATGATCTTTTCTTGCCTTAACGAAAAAGAAAGAAAAAAATTGCCGAAATCATATCGAAAATAAATCTTTGTTATTTCCATTTCGCAAAACTTATATACAAAATGATATATATTTTCAAATGAAATGGTCACTTTTGCGTATTTTATGTTTATTTGTTTATTTGCGGCATTTGTGAAAATGAATAAAAGTGGTTTGCAACCGGGGCACGATGAAAAGGTTTTCTTACTTTCAATTTTATTCAATGTTTTTCCCTCTTTTCAATTTTTTTTTATCTATACCCCGCCGTTGCTGTCTTCCGTTTGATAAATTCACTTTTGCTTCGGAAATTTTCTTTTTACACACTGTGAGTTTAGGTGTTTTTTTTTTATTCTCGGCACTGATTTATTGTTGTTGTTTTATGTTAGCGATTTATGACTTTAAACACGAAAAATTCGTTCTCTAGAATGAGGTCAGTTATCAATTTTGTTGTTCGCTGTTGGATCGAGCCACAAATCATGAACAAGTTACTTTTTGACTTGATAAAATGAACACACGATAAAAGACAAACTCTAGTGGGTTGCAAGTGAAACGAACTTTTGTTTGAAACGAACGATTTGCATGCAATGAAATTTAAAACAAATTCAGAGAAATCACTCATATGATTTACTCGGTTGATTGATGTTGAATGCGATCAAAACGAACGTCTATCATCATATGCATTTATACATGTGTGAAAATTGTAACTGGATGATTTGTAAGTGACACGAGTCAACAAACAAGCAAAATGATTCTCACACAACACGCTTATTCATTCACTCGCTCACGTCATCCACATACAAATTTCACCGATTGTTAACAGAACAATTTTCACTTGAAACAAAAACAAACGATTTCATTTTATCGTTGCTATTGGGGTAACATCGATTAATTTTTTTTTTCGCGTGAACAATTGTAATTGTATAAATGTGATACATTTTGTTTTTCCAAATTGCATTCATATTTTACTTTTGATGTGTTTACAATGAATTTTCATGCCGCATTTTATACAACACATTTTCCACGCACACACATTTTTCAACTCTATAAACACACCATTGTTTGTTTGCAAAATAGTTCATTTTTTTATATTCTCCATTTTATATGCACTCTCTTTCTACGAGCACATCTATGTGTTTTTTGTTTTGTTTTGCGCTTTCTTTTTGATTTCGCGTTTTTTCATCAAGATAGTTTTTTTTGCCTATATCCAATTTCAATGGATACGACCAAAATCAAAGATGACGGTGTTCTGTTTGTTTATGTTTGTGACTTTGGCGTTCTCATTTAGTTTTAATTGAATTGCAAGCTAATAGGAAATGAGCGCATAACGCGATTTTTTTTCAAGTGCAAAATAAAAAAACGGCAGCAAAGAAAACCGAAAACTGAAAAGCGAACGTGAATAACTTGTTGCACACTCACTGATTTCTCTCTCTCTCACTCACACACACACACACACACACACACACACACACAC